ATATATATTTATATATAATAAATATTTAATTAACAGTGTTTTGTTACTTATAAGGCAAGAAAATAAATAAAAAACAAATATGGCGACTAAAATATTGAGTTAAGGATTTCTCATTAATATTCAATAGTAATAAAAATCATGTAGAATGTCTTCCTATTTGTATTCTCAAATCATATATAATATAATGATTAAAAAAATGTTATCTATCTTTTACAAGTAAGCCATATAAAAATATGGCGGGAAAACAAAATTGTAATCTTAAAATATACCGTCTATTATTTTTTGTAAGTATTAGGTCAATAATTGTCGTTTTTGTTTCATACGTTTACGAAGTTGCTCTATGAAAATCTAAAGAATATAATCCTAAACAAATGACACTTATTAGTATTAGATCCGATATGTATTACATGTTATATTAATAATTAATATAACTTGCCATTAGATAACAAAAATAGAACGTGAAATTGTAAAATTTATAAATAACGTTTTGATTATTTTTACGTATTTGTTTCTATTGAAATTTGACTGGTTTTCTTTTTTTGATTATGGTATTTAAACGTGTTTATCAATTAATTATATAATTCTAATCGTAAGTATTGTATATTATTGTTTCTACATATATTCAGCTAGAAAACACGTTTGACTGTAACGTGACGCTTATACAAGTGCGTGTTTACCTATATTTATTTAGCGTTGTATCTATTCCATAGAAATGTGAACAAAAAACTGATGACGTATGCGTACGTATCGTGAATGAGGTTTAGTTGGATTAAATTTAATATGAATAATGTAATTGGACTAAAGTAATGAAACTATTATTTTCTATTATACGTATCTCTCACTTGTCCTGCGAAATATTTTTATTTATCGAAATATTTCTGCCTTACTTGTTCTTGCCGATTTTGTTTTAAAGAAAATTTCCAAAGTATATAATCGTAGGATAAAAAATTGCAACACGTATGTTACTCAGCATGATTTTTTAAAAATAGTTATATATACTATTTGCCATTTTCCATCATTATTTTGTTTTAATGATAGTTTTCGAAATATTTTAATTGTAAGAATTAAAAATAGTTTCACGCACGTTTCTCAGAACAAATTTTTAAATACAGCTGATTCTTATTGATGAAGTATTCGTGTTTTCTTTTCTTTTCTTTTTTTTTTTCTTTTTTTCACTTTCTTGAGAAGATGTATATATAATTATTGAAAAATGTCGAAGTGGGGAAGGAGGCATTTCGTCTAGTATCGTGATAGGTCGGTGAAAAGCATTCACCTTCGCTTCGAATAACGGAGAATGCGTCGAACGTCTGATCCAATACCATTTCAACGTACGAAGAATAATTATCTCGAATGATGTATCGTTTTCTAGCTTTTCCATTTCACGAATGTAGGACTTAATAAAGATTAAGATTTTGTTGAAAGGAGAATACGAATTTATATTTACGAGTCTTTTTTGTGGATAAAAAACTAAATTATTTTTGTTTCGTTTTTTCCTTTTTTTTAGTTTGGATTTTAATTTTTTAGTATCTACAGATACTATAATTTTGTAAAAAATTACTTATTAATTTATTGAATAAACGTTAGATTTTATATGATATTATGTTAGATGTAAAGTAAAATTCATACTTTGTGGAAATGAAAGTACGATTTTGAAAAATATCAGAATCTTCAAACTAAATTTATTCATTTTGAGGTCATTGAGGGTTGGTAGCTTTCTGTATAATTTGGTCCAATTTATTTTCGTCGGTTGGAAATGTGTTAACGCAGCTTGAGATGAATACAGCCGGATCTTTTTCGTATCGAATGGCTCCGTTGCGTCTCGTTATTTTCTTGTACCTCTTATTGTTAGAAAACTCTACGGAGCATAAAGATGCTCGATGATTCTTCAGTATTTTCTTCGAAAGATTTCTTTTTTCAGCTTAGAATTTTCTTATTTCCCGCCATATGTTTCTACCATTTACTTATAAGATGGATTTTACTTTTTAGTCGAAATTTTTATTTTATTTTAAATGATAAGAAGAAAGAGAGAGAGAGAGACTTTTAATTTTTGTATTAATATGGAATATAATATTTAAATGTTTAACAAGATAATAAATGAATACTACTAGTTGCTATATTTGTTTTTTTCTTTTCTTTGCGAATCTTATAAATAGCGAAATTACGTTTAAAGAACAATAAATATATCATGACATTATTCGTATTTTTTACGGTAAACGTGACTACGTCCACTTGAAGTTTCTTTTTTTTTTTTAACAGTAAACTGATACCGTTAACTTTTCACCTGGAGAGATTGATCACTTGTGATTTTACTATTTTTTTTTCCTTACGATCTTTTTCATTTATTTCGAATAGAATATTTCTTAACAAAATACTTTTATTATTAATATATTTACGATTCGTTTATTGCCATTATAAAAAAATCTATTGAAAATCTGATTCTAATTAGTAAATTTGGAATGAAATGAATTATTATTTAAAATTTAGAAACATTTATTTTATACAAAATTATAAAATAAATAAATATATAAATCATGTTAAATGCGTGCACATGGACGGTAAAAGGTCAAATGGTTAAGAAAGAAAAGAATCGGTGATCAGTCTTACGAAAGATACTTTAGAAAAGAACGGAACAATTTACGAAGAATTGCTATATGCATTAGGCCTTAGTCATTTGCGATGGTAGATGCGGGTTGAGTCATCGAATGGAATTGTAATCCTTTTTGATAATTTAAATCGACGATTTTTTTACGTTTTATTTGATCCCTCGGGATGTCTCAAAAGTTGCTTTAACGAGAAACATAACAAAAAAAAAAATAGAATAAAAATCATATGTTTTATTAAAATTACAATATTTATGATATTTTATTTGAAGATATATAAATCCTTGATTACACTGCTGTTAAAAAATAATGATGCGTTTTGAAAAACAATGCTATTATTGTAAATAAATATCTGTTAAATAAAATAAATGCCAATATTGTAACTCGGTAAAGCGTCTTTTGGTATACTTTGTATATTTACAGTTAATTTTTAGATATACATTTCTTGCGAGACGTGAAGAAAAAAATAACAATAAAGATGATTCATTATTGATAGGATAAGAGAGAGAAGGCAACTATTAAAAGCGAGGAGATTGCAATTCATTGATCTTCAAAATGTGTTTGCTGTCAATGGAAGTCTCGAACGTTTGTTCGAAGTAGCTAACACTCTCTTCGGAATAATCATACATTTAAACTTATTCGTTCATAGTTGGTAAGTGTCTTCGAACTCGGAGAAGGTCGAACTCGAATTGACTTCCGATAACTGCTTACGACCTGTAGATTCGTTTCTTTATCGTCTTCTTGCTGATTAATACCGATTAAGAGGAAGAGAGAACGTATTCGAGCAAGTACTTAACCTTTCAATGTATATTCCGACGATGATGATGATGATGATGATGATGATGATGATATCTTACTTCCTGTTCTTCGTAGTCATAGATTATTACTCATAACTTTATATTACATATTTCCTTTATTTTTTTTTATTGGTATCGACATATTTTTATAATATGCTTATTGAACAAATATGATAGAATATTGATTATGTTTCATTTAAAAGTTTTGGAAATCTATAAAAATAAATAGAGAGAAATCGTTTATAAATTTATTTGTTTTTTTTTTTATTATTATTTATAAAAG